GAAGTTTTCTGTCATTATTTCTTCAAATAGTTTTTCAATATCTTGCCCTCTCTCTTCTTCTGGCACCCCCATAATTTGGTTGTTGATATGCTTGAAGTTGTCCCAGAGGCTCCTTACACTATCTTCCTATTTTTGAATTTTTTTAAATATATTTTTATTGATTTTTTACAGAGGGGAAGGGAGAGGGATAGAGAGCTAGAAACATCAATGAGAGAGAAACATCGATCAGCTGCCTCCTGAACACCCGCTACTGGGCAAGTGCCCGCAACCAAGGTACATGCTCTTGACCGGAATCGAACCCGGGACCCTTCAGTCCACAGGCTGATGCTCTATCCACTGAGCCAAACCGGTCAGGGCTGGATTTATTTTTCTTTTTGCTCTCCTGCTTGGGTGTTTTTAGCTTCCTCATATTTCAAATAGTTGATTTGATTCTTGGGAATCCTCTAGTCCCGTGGTTGGCAAACTGTGGCTCGCGAGCCACATGCGGTTCTTTGGCCCCTTGAATGTGGCTCTTCCTAAGCCTTAGAAGTACCCTAATTAAGTTAATAACAGTGTACCTATCTATATAGTTTAAGTTTAAAAAATTTGGCTCTCAAAAGAAATTTCAATCGTTGTACTGTTGATATTTGGCTCTGTTGACTAATGAGTTTGCCGACCACTGCTCTAGTCTACTGTTGAATCCCTGTGTAGTATTCTTTATTTCAGTCAGTGTATGCTTAATTTCTGACTGGTCCTTTTCCATTTTTTTGGCATTCTCACTAAGATCCTTGAAATCTCACTAAGTCCTTTGAAGGTTTCTAAAAAATTCTTGAGTAACCTTATAACTGTGGTTTTAAACTCTATATCCAGTAGTTTGCTTTCCTCCATTTCTTTCATTTATGACATGTTTCTTTCTCTCTGCATTTTGGCTGCTTCCCTGTGTTTGTTTCTATGTATTGGGTAGAGCTGCTAAGTCTCCTTGAGTTCATAGAGTGGCCTTGTATAGTAGGTGTCCTATAGGGCTCAGTGGCTCAGCCTCCCCAATCACCTGAGTTGGACCCTCTAGGTGCACCCCTTTGTGGACTGTGTGCACAACCTTGGTGTAGTTGAGCCTTGATTGCTATTGGTGTGACTGGGAGGAATTGACCTCCTGGCCAATTGGCTGGGGACCAGCTGCGACTTCAGTGGGAGAGCTGCTGTGCAGGAGACACCTTTATGGGGCAGGACTTGCTTCAGTGGGGCTTTGGTGCTCACTGAGTCTTCCCCTCGAGTGTGTCACTTATAGATGTAAAGAGTTGTAATCTGATATGGTCTCACACTGACCACTGGGTACACTGGCTCTTGGGTCTCCAGTGAGGTGCAAAGTCAACCACTGCCTAGAGCCACCCAGCAGGAGCTACAGAGAGATATGCAGATTCTTCCTCTTTGTATCAGGTTTGGAAGTGCTTAGAGGAGACCCAGCTGTGAAGCAAGGCAGGCTGGTGCTGTGTCTTGGGCCTTTCATTGATAGGTTTGGGGCTCCCTTACCCAGCTGCAGCTTGTTTGTCAGGTTTTTAGCCTGAGAAAGGACAGGCCATTCATATGCAAAAGCTGGTGGGCACAGCTTGGGTGGGGTTGAAAATTGGGTGGGGCGGGGTCTCAGGGAATCACCAGGGCAGAGCAAACAGAAATGGCTGCCAGTCAGCCCTGCAACCAGGAAGGTTCCAGCATGGGAACAATGACCACTGAGAACACCTCTATCTGGAAGAAAGCTGCCCCTGAGTTCCTGCCCTGACGCCAGATAGTCCAGTTTCTCCTGGTATGTGTCTGGGTCGCCCAAACCCTCGCCCAGCACTGGAGCTCAGAGGAAGCGGGGGCTTGTAAGTTCAGTTCATGGTGCCGGCCTTTTAAGAGGAGCAGCTGTGTCTCCAGCAGCCTGTGTGTCACTCAGCCCCAATCCGCAATGAATTTTACAACCCATAGTTCTTACTGCCCATAAGGACTTCTTTTCCAAGTTCTGGGACCCTGGGCTGGGCATCTGGTGTGGGGCTGGGACCCCTTGCTCCTCCAGGCAGCCTCCACAGAGGTGATCTCCCTCTGGATTAAAAAAGGGGCACATGCAGGTGCCAGACCAGCCCATTCCATTTCTCTGTACCTCCTACCAGTCTCAGTGTGCTTTCTTCTTTACTTCTCTAGTTATAGTATTTCCATTCAGCCAGCTTTCCAGCAGTTCTGGATGATGGTTGGTCTGTATCTTAGTTGTAATTTTGATGTGGTTGTGGGAGGCAGCGAGTACAGGCATTTGCCTATGTGCCATCTTGGTTGTCCCATTCTCTTTCTTTTCATCAAAACTTGCTTCCTGTTAGTGGTCTGAAAAATATTCATATGAATAATTGAAATGTTACTCCTCCTTGATCAAAATACTATGAAAAAATAAATCAAAAGTTAAAGAGAAAAAGAATAAAGAAATGAGGCCATAGAGGGTTAGGCATTAGAAATAACAGGTGAGGGAGGTATATTCTGGGGCAGAAGACTTTCCCATAAAGCAACTGCCTACCCGTGCGTTCTTTTGGGGGCGGGGGGTAAACTGCTGTTATCCACATCTCTAATCTGGGAGATGCTGTGAGCAGTTCCGGAGCAGGGGCAGGAGAAAGAGAAACTAGAAAACCGGAAAAGCACCCTCGGGGAGAAAGTGTCCTCACATGCCTGGGAAGTCCTAATGTTTAATTTTTTTGTTTCTTTTTGTTTTTTAAGGAAGCAACTTACAATTAGTTGGCAACGAAGAGGTGAAATTTGATTCTAAATAGCTGAACAGCCCTTCATAGTTTGCTATGTGTTTGGCTATGCCCTTTGGGATCTTCTATGGAAATTCCCAGTGCCCTGAGTTTTACACCTGTTGACAATGCTCCCCAGGGCCTGGTTAACACATCTGCTCAGCCTGTAATTTGGAAGGCATAATTAGTATTATTTACAAAAAGCCAAGAACATGCCCTAGTCGGTTTGGCTCAGTGGATAGAGTGTCAGCCTG